GCTTAAAAACCTGCTTTTTTTGTTCAATCTATAACGAAAACCTCATTTCCTCGGATATCTCGCTGTCTGACAAATAAAATTAGCCAAAAGTTTGGTCATTTAAGCCCCATTTTGGTCGAAATATGTTTCCAAACTTGACGCCAAAAGTGGGTCAAAATAATCAATCTTCAGGAGCTTAAATGCGCGTCTTTTTGGAAATCCTCGTCGAAATTATATTTTCTTAGATATATCTCTGTCTGGCCAACAAAAATGGTCAAAAATTGGCCAATTTATCATTTATTTTATTCTGCATATTTCTGCAAACATTTTGTCAAAGTCAGGTTAAAAGAATCAGCCTTTGGGAACTTAAGAAATTCGTCTTTTAGTAAATCTATAACAACAAGCACGTTTCCTCGGAAATCTAGCTGTTTGGTAAATAAAATTAGCCTAAATTTGGTTCATTTATGCCTCATTTTGATCGAAATATTTTGGCAAACCGTATATAATAATCGGGTTAAAATAATCAGTCTTCAGGAGGTTAAAATGCGCGTCTTTTTGGAAATCCTCATCGAAACTATATTTCCTTAGATATCTCTCTGTCTGGCCAACAAAAATGGACCAAAATTGGCGAATTTATCACTTATTTTATTCTCCATATTTCTGCAAACATTTTGTCAAAGGCATGTTAAAAGAATCAGCCTACGGGAGCATAAAAACCTGCTTTTTTTGTTCAATCTATAACGAAAAACCTCATTTCCTCGGAAATCTAGCTGTTTGGCCAATAAAATTAGCCTACATTTGGTCCATTTATGCCTAATTTTGGTCGAAATATGTTTCCAAACTTGACGCCAAAAGTGGGTCAAAATTATTAATCTTCAGGAGCTTAAAATACGCGTGTTTTAAGAAATCCTCATCGTGCATCATACGCGTGCAAATTTTGACCAACTACAGTTCAAATAATCAGCCTTCAGATTGTTAAAAGTGTGCACCCTTTAGGAAAATTTCCAGCGAAAACACATCTTCGAAATCTTCAAAATATCTTTTTCAAACTATATGACAAAATCCGATTAAAAGAATCAGCCTTCAGGACCTTAAAAGTGTGCGTTTTGGGGGAAATCTCAAACGAAAGAACATTTCTTTGGATATCTCGCTATCTGTCCAAAAAACTGGTCGAAAATTAGTGTAGTTATGTCTAATTTTGTTATAACTATTTGATCAAATTCGGGTTAAAAGAATCACCGGTCAAGTGATTAAATTATTTGTATTTTGGGAAATCTCCAACGAAACCACATCTTGGAAATCTCGCTGTCTGGTCAACAAATTTGGAAGAAAATTGGCCAATTTATTACTACTTTTGGTCAAAATATCTTTTTGAAACTATATGACAAAATATGATTAAAAGAATTAGCCTTCAGGACCTTAAAAGTGTGCTTTTTGGGGGAAATCTCAAACGAAAGAACATTTCTTTGGATATCTCGCTATCTGTCCAACAAAATTGGTCGAAAATTGTCCTTTTTATGAAGAATTTTTTGGTAAATATTTCTTCATACATTTAGCCAAAATCGGGTTAAAATAATCACCTTTCAGATCTTTAAAATGGGATTTGGGAAATCTCCAACGAAAATACATTTAATTGAATATCTCGCTCTCTGGCCAACAAAATTGGTCTAATTTTGGTCCGAGTATTGGTTCGTCAAGTCCCCTTTGAATTTACATGCAGTATTTCGACTCTGAAACCGACGTGTTTAATTTTATCGGTGACTCCTCGGCGTCGTGCAGCAGATTAGCCTTGAAACCGGGACGGAAATCGAAAAACGGCACGCTCAAGACTTTTACGACCCGGCGATCCGAAAATGAGAGGTTCAAAGGGCCACTGGAGCGGGGGGGGGGGTCGATTCGAAAAATTTATTACGCCCCCAGGTCGTGGACCCGGCTTTTCCGAAGAAAAAGAAAAAACGCCTGCCTAATGGTCCTCGGACTCTTGATTTACTCCGCTTTCCACGCCGGCGTAATAAAAATATTCGAAGAGCTCACCGGCCGTAAATCAGTCCGAAGAATGTCCAAAATAAACGAAAATGTGGGGGGGGGGGCTCTTTTCATAAATTCAAACTGAAAACTGCCTTCAACCTGGCCCATCGAAATATATTCAAGATTTCCTTGGAATTTAAGACTTCAGAACAAAGAAAAACCGACAAATAATAAGGCACAATGATGATGGCATATCAGGCCTTTCTAACAATTGGTAAAATGAGGATTTTAGTTTGTCCAAAATATATTATAATTTATAAAATATTCCTTAGGGATGAAAATGTACCGAAAAGAATGTAAAATATTGCAAGAAATTCTCTGGTACGTTGATACATAGGATTCTGATGGCTTTTCCTTTTTCTAAAGTTTTGGCTGTTGTTTTCTCATCCGTGCCCAATTGCTTTCAACCCTGGACGTTCACCCTGGTTCATTACAGCACCAATATTGGTCTTATACTTTGCGCGAATCCTTGGTTAAAGTCGGCCCGGAGCCGGAAATCCTATCTGCGTTCAATTAAATCCGAACTGGGCCCGTCACGAGGGTGAAATGGGCCGGACCGCGGCCGGAAGCGGCCACATGGGGCAAGTGCATCGCAAGTGTTTTTTTCTTTTTCCACCAGACGGGGGATGTCTTGGAGAAACAAAGAGGCCCACTGTTTCAATAAACCCCCGGGGAAGGGTTGAGCATCAGGGCGGGGCTCGAAGTCTTCAGAAATTCAAAAAGCTTTTCTACACAAAATTTAACAGATTTCATACAATAATCCTACATGAACAACTTTTGGTGTAAAATTTACCATCCTTCCTCCTAGAAAAAAATTATATATTTTTTCCCTCTTGACATGGGGAAATAAATCAGGGGTTAAACAACGCTTGGGATTTTGAAGAAGATACAATTAACTCCGAGGGCCTGCATTCCGAAGGATGTACCGTTAGGCCGAGGGGGATGAGAGGATTGGCGGGAGGGGGGTGGTGATTGGGGGTAAAAAAAATCCAGGGAGAAAACCAACCCCCGGACCCTGCGGAGTGTAACTTTACACCCCTGCTGAAAAATTATTTTACACAGGCGAAATACGCCTTAGGACGATAGAATGTCATGGTCTTTATTTCATAGATTCAAAAAATTGCACGGATTTATACTATTTCCCTGTATTCTATGCAATCATTGACACGACTAAACGACAAAAACACACCCCCCCCCAAAAAAAAAAAAATCTAAAGAACGAATTACACAACCGAAATATTTCATACTGAGAAAGAAAAATATAAAATCAGCATAAAACTCTTCGTACCCGTCTTGGGTGTTGGTAAATTGCCCGGCTTTTAAAGCAAAACATCACCCAAAAATCATGATCATCTTGAAGTCATCATACATTCAAAATGACCACTATGGTCCGGAAAATCATCACATAAAAAACTTGTTTTGTATTTTCCCTTTTTGTACTTACAGGGATTGCGCAATCTTGTTGCATTGTTAGCACTATTATATAAGGCCCAATGATCATGGTCACCACGGATCACGAAATTCAACAACTATAATTTGCAGTGCAATTTTTTGTTTGTTTTATTATCATTGGCTTCAAAGTTTATGCGATCTGGTGAGTTTGGACGGAATTTTGTCCAGGCCAAATTGACCTTGAAAAATGCTGGAATAAGTATAAGGAGAATAATTGACTTTTGTGGGACGTATAACAGACTGTCGGCTACCATTTGATGGATTTGAAGAGAATTTTTTTCCTTACGACCAATTTCTAGTATACGTTTAAAAATAGGGTCATCCAGGTGAGTTTCCAATGGATTCTTTATTTCCATGGACCTCCAGTCAAAGACCACGACGTCCATTTTGGGGATGGATGTTGGTGAGCTTTGGCAAAATCCTGTTTATATTTTTTTCTTCTGCACTATTAGAAATATTTGTTTATTGACAGTAAGTGATATTTGGTGAGTTTCCGAAGGATTCATTATTTCCATGGACCAGACAAAGATCCTGAGGTCCATTTTGAGGGTCTATGTTGATGACAAAATTTCCAGATTTTTCCTTTTGTCCTATTTTTATTATTTGTGTTTATAGACAGTCACTGATATTTGGGTGTTTCCAATGGATTCTTTCTTTCAATCTCCAGCCAAAGCCAATGATGTCTATTTTGAGAATGATTTTTTGTGATTTTTGAAAAATCTTGACCCATTTGAAATATTTGTAAGTAATCGTTGGATGAGGATCCTATAAATCATTATTTTATTATTTACACCTTTATCTGAGTTTTCGTTATGTCCTGTTTGAGGTATATGTGTATGTCGACAGTCACCGACCTTTGGGTGAGTTCCTTCTGGATAATTCTTATTATAAACTTTAGTTCAGAGACCAAGATGTGAATTTGGTTGGTTTGGTGATGAGATTTTAGGTTGAACTGGTCATTATGGTCATCACAATTTTTTTAATCGCCTATCAGACGTGACATATAGGACTTTTTATTAATTACTTTTTTTTTTTTTTATCCCCTTTCTATATAATCCTGAAAGAATAATCTGGCCGAACTATTACCAACACATTGTTCCCCTTTGTCGGCTTTTTTCACTTCAAAGGAGCCGACGCCTTGCACAAAATTGTCTTTTATATACCGACTTCCTTCCCCACCTCCTCAAAACCAAACATATATAAACATGAAACAGCAAAATCTCACTGGCACTCTCAACACGACACACAAGGATGGCACAATTACACAGAAGACAAACACTTTGAGTGAGTAGAAATACTTTGTTTGAATATAAAATATATTTTGCATTGTATAAATTCACTTATCCACATCCTAAATGTATTTGTTAAATGTAAACATTGTTTGTAAATCCCAGGCCCTGAAGATGATCTCAATAAAAGATCGAAACGTTGGCACGATAAAGAAAATGTTTTTCTGAAACCTACATCACACCCGACCGCATCTCACGATATCTGAATAATTACTTTTTTTATTATGTATTCGACGAAACAGTATGAGAAAGTTTTTTTTCTGTTGGAAAACTAGGTTTTCTTCTGGCACCTTTTGCCTCTTATTCCACTGAGTTTCCCGAATTAACCTCTTTTCTCGCACCTTCCGAGGGCGGAAATTTCCTCGGACGGACACCGCTCGAGGGTGGTTTTTTCCTCCACCACCCCTTTGTCCGTGGAAAAGGCCCAGGTGATGTATAAGGTCTCGGTTGACTGTACGCTCGTATAAACCCGGGGCCGACTGTACAACGAAATTTCGGCCTCCGCGGTACTAAAACGGAGCAGTAAAAGTACAGCCAGTACAGGAGCCTCCCCACGGAGGGGGTGGACGGGTGACTGTACAAAGGAACGACCCTTCACCCACCCCAAGAGGTCCAAAAAAACTTGTGCAACTTTATCCAGTTCTAATTTAAACCTTGGATTAATAAACATAATGCGACGGGATAAAGTTTATTGAAAGGGTTAAAAATTGAACAATTTCAAAATTTCTAAATAATCAGCGTTTTTTCAAAGTGGATTCTCTTTTCCAAGGCCTTTTCTCGTTCCTCCTCTGAGGGGCGGACTCGGCGTCTGGAAGAAGCTGGACGCACTGGACGGTCAGCCTCCTCTTCCCGGGCTTCTTTTCCTGCTCCGCTTCCTGTTCCTGGTCGGCCTCCTGTTGTTCCTGGTCCGTCTCATCGGCTGCGACAAAAGAAATGGACCGATTAACGATCAAAACCGCCGGGGGATAAAGGAATCCCTTTACCTTTCCTCTGGAGGAGTAGGGCCATTATTGGAAGTACCTTTGAACCCAGGATACGGCCGTTCTCCCTGGAAATTAAATTGATTAAAAATCCTTCTTTTATTTTACACTCCCAAATATTGAAAGAAAGAACAATAAAAAATAAAAAATAAAAAATAAAAAAAGAACAATTTGCCCTTTTGTTTTCTTCGAGAGACCCGCCTTACATCTCTGACGGGCAGTTTAGTATCGCCGGCCTTGTCGGGCGTTACTCTCCGTTGTCCAAAACGACCGCGACACCCTGTCTAAAATACAAGGTGGGGAAAAAACAGGCTGAAAAATGTAAAATCAAAAAAAAAAAATTGGCCTTCCGATTATGAAAGACCAAAAATCCTTCGCATATTGAATTTGGGCAGAAGGTCAGGATATCTTGTAAAAATGTGTGGTGATTAGTGACCGTTAATCGATATTTATTTAGAAATCGTGAGATGCGGTCTGGTGTGATGTAGGTTTCAGAAAAACATTTTCTTTATCGTGCCAACGTTTCGATCTTTATTGAGACCATCTTCAGGGCCTGGGATTTACAAATATTGTTTAAATATAACAATTACATTTTGGATGTGAAAAAGTGAATTTATACAATGCAAAATATATTTTTTATATATACAATCAAAGTATTTCTACTCACTCAAAGTGTTTGTCTTATGTGTAATTGTGCCATTAATTAATTTAGCTATTGGAAAATCTGATTTGTTGTAATTAATTACGGATGTAGACTAGGCAATCCAAAAATCCACAAAAACAGAGGAAGAAAAAGACATAACGCAAGAATGGCACAATTACACAGAAGACAAACACTTTGAGTGAGTAGAAATGCTTTGATTGAATATATAAAAAATATATTTTGCATTGTATAAATTCACTTTTCCACATCCAAAAGGTAATTGTTATATGTAAACAATGTTTGTAAATCCCAGGCCCTGAAGATGATTTCAATAAAGATCGAAACGTTGGCACGATAAAGAAAATGTTTTTCTGAAACCTGCATCACACCAGACCGCATCTCACGACTTCTAAATAAATATCTTGTAAAGTTTAAAAAAACAGGATTTAAAATAGCGCATAACAAGCATTAGGTACATTTGTGGAAGTCCAATATTTTTTTAAACAAATGGTCAGTAGACTACTTGTAGAAACTTATACAGAAGAAACATTTACGAATTTTTGGACGACTAATTGTTTCGAGTCGACCACCAAAATCTTTTCAACAAGGGAGTCTGGACGATGAGCAGCAAATCCAGGTAGAAAACATGTCCTAAACATCTATTGATATTTTTACGATATGTGACCAATTTTTGGGCGTCCAAAATTTGGGCCGAAGGCCAGGACATTCAGTTAAGTTAGAAAAACCCGTCCTCCCCATACATTGAAAATAAACACTATTTAAAAAAGTACATAACAAGCATTAGACACATTTGTGGACGTCCAAAAATTGGTCCAGTATATAATTTTTGGCTAACGGTCAGGTTAATTTGTTATAAACTGGGAATAAGTTTATCAAACTGTACATCCTGACAATAGGCCAACATCTAATAATGTACAACTTTTGGTCATCTTTAAATCTCGTAACATTAGTCTAAATGCTCGTCCAATAATATTTTCTGTTATTAAATTCACTAATTTCGTGGTCCGCTTGACCAATTAATATATTACAATTAATTAAGGTTTTTAGTTGAGATAAAAAAGTCAATGGCACGAGCGGGATTCGAACCCACGATCTTCGGCTTGATACGCCGCTGCTCTACCACTTGAGCTATCGTGACCTCGATCCACTCGGACACCAACTTCCCATCGCAACCGCAAAAAGGAGGGAAAATTCAAACAGGTGCGGTTCGAAGCACCACGATAGCTCAAGTGGTAGAGCAGCGGCGTATTAAGCCGAAGATCGTGGGTTCGAATCCCGCTCGTGCCATTGACTTTTTTTATCTCAACTAAAAACCTTAATTAATTGTAGTTTTCTGTTATGTACGAATCAATGTCTTCTTGACATCTTGACAACTGACCAAAATAACTTCATGGGCAGATTTTTGGACTTCCAAAAATTGGTCTGATGTAATAATTTCATTAGATGTTTGGGAGAGGGCAAGATTTTCTCACTGGTTACCTTCACAATTGAACAAAAAGACGAAAAGGTGAGAACAACTAAAATTGGACGTCCAAAAAATAGGTCTAATATTGTACTTATCACTTAGTGATTGACATTGCCACCTAAGTAGTTTGAGAGAACATATGGTACCACTGGTCTGCTTCTTCTTGTCTGTTTTCTAAACATCGAACAAAACAGTTGGCAATGTACAACGACCAAGTTTCACCATGTACTTACGACTCGTCTGGGCAACCAGTCCATGTGATACGGCCACTTGGATTTTCTGACTGTTCGGAGACTTCACAAGCCTTGAGATCTTCAAAACGTCGACAAAACAGCTTGGCAAAGTATTATGAAAGTTTTCAAATCAGACTCGAAGTCCCACGTACTTAGGAATTAACGGGACAACCCGACGAAGGGATCTGATGACCTCACAGTTATTCCCTTTTGTATTATTCCGCTGACCAGAGTCTTATAACGCCTTGACACTTTCAAAACGTCGACAAAACAGCTTGGCAAAGTATTATGAAAGTTTTCAAACAATACTCGAAGTCCCACGTACTTAGGAATTAACGGGGCAACCCGACGAAGGGATCTGATGACCTCACAGTTATTCCCTTTTGTATTATTCCGCAGACTATGGTCTTATAACGCCTTGACACTTTCAAAACGTTGATAAAACAGCTTGGAAAACTAATATCAAATTATCAAAAGTTTTCAAGACATCTCGAAGTCCCACGAACTTAGGACTTAACGGGGCAACCCGACAATTTGATGTCGTCATACTTTTCTCTTATTGGATTTTCAGGCTGACCAGACTTGCATTGTATTTAGACCTTGCAAACGTTTACAAAACAGTTGGGTAAAGAATTATGAAATTTGCAAGCCATACTGGATATGTTTTCCACAAGATAATCTAACAGAGATCATATGGTATCACTGTGAGTCAGCTTTGTGTGCCATTTTGGACCTATTTTACAAAGTGGGTGTCCACAAATAGGTCTAATATTGTACTTACTATTAAGTGAATGACACTATCACCTGAATAATTTGAGAGGGAATATTTTGAAACAAGATAACCTGACACAGGTCATATGGTATTACTGTGGGTCACCCTTGTGTGCCATTTTGGACCTATTTTACAAAGTGGGTGTCCACAAAGAGGTCTAATATTGTACTTACTATTATGTGAATGACATTCACCTGAATAATTTGAGAGGGAATATTTTCAAACAAGATAACCTGACAAATGTCATATAGTATTACTTGTCTTCTTGTGCCAGTTTGGCCCTATTTTACACAGTGGCTGTCGACCAAGTGGTCTTACATTGTACTTACCATCCAGATAATAGTCTTTACAAGGACTTTTAGTGCTAAGATAAAGGTGCCCAGAATGACGATTCTTCGTTGTAGTCATTTGAACTGAGACCATACCGACGTGAATATCTTCGAAATTATCGAACTAATAGATAAAAAAAGACAAGACTAATTGTTAATATAATAGTTTATTACAAATAGACCTGATGTCTGGTTCGAGGGGCGGCTCGGGCGGTTCTTTCTTCTTCCTCGGCTTCGGTTGGGCTCTCGGGGCTGCTGAAATCTGCGGTGCTCTTTTGTACAACTCGAGTCTGTGTGCGACGACCTGGGGCGGGATGAGGGTCGGGTGCTGCTTACATCCCGCAAGTCTGGCGCAAGTGCCTCTGGATTAAAAGAAGAAAAAATGAGACTTTTTTTGTTGTATCGACGTCATTTCAAGTCTGAATACTTCGGGTTCCTCCTCTCCGCCGATGCGTCCACAGGGACCGGCGTCGAGGCCGGGGTTGTCACCAGGTGACCGCACTCCAGTTCGAAGTAGTTCTGAAATATTGAAAAAGGTCAACAAAAACCGGGTTTTTTCCACCAGTGGTCAATTAGGAGAAAGGGGTCCGATTCAGCCCTCGCGCGGGCTTGGTTCTGAATAATTGAACCACCCTTAGTGACGAGGGTCTTAGCCGGGTGAATGTTGCATCACGGCGTTGTATGAAATTTTCAGAAAAAAAGAAGAAAAAAGCTCCACCTTTTGCAATTCGACCGGCGTTCATGTCTCCGGGATCTTTTAAACATGGAGTCTTCGACAGGACCCTCGTCCAAAATCACGACGGGGGATGAATAAACCAAATAATTAAAAGATAGGGTTAAAAAAACGTCCCAGAAAGCAGTCTTACCGTCCCATGGTCAGTGCAGATCGGGCATTTAGGCGGCTGAGGTGCCACCGGTTCCATGAAAATCCCTGGACCCCTGCAAAAAAAAAAAGATAAAACAATCATTTAACCCTTTAATAACGCGTCTGCGACATTATACGTGTACAATGATACCGAGACACGAAAGGCATAAAAATCCCTCTCCGTCTACGACCCATTACAATTCAATAACATGCGACACGGAAGCGTTTGTCAAACGAGAAAAAAATTTACAAAAAAAACCACCCCCTCATTAACCCTAGTCTACATCTGACAGTTTAATCAGCGTTAAAATAAATAAAATGCGGGTTTAACCTAAATAACATACCGCCCACCAAAGTAAAAAGTTAGAAATTCAGTGGAAATCAAAACACTTCCTTCTTTGCCTGTCTTAAACCAACTATTCTCAAAGGTTTTCAAAAATTTATGTTCTCTCCGACGTCAAAATATTATTAATATAAATAGAATAATTAGGCGAAAACAAAGGCAACCAAAGCAAAAGGTATCTTTAAAACGCAAAAAAACACGAAAAAGCAGTTGGCAAAGTACAATAACGAAGTTGAATCACATACTCAAAGCCCAACTTACTTAGGACTTAACTGGTCACGTGTCAAAGCGATCTGGTGACCTCCTATTAATCTTATTTGAATTTTCTAGTATTCTTATTTCAATTTTTTGACTGTTCGGAGACTTCAAAAGCTCTGAGGGCTTCAAAACCTCAACAAATCAGCTTGATAAAATATTATGAAAGTTGGAAGCCATACATAAAGCCCAAAATACTTAAGACTTAACTGGGCAAGCTGTAAAGCAAACTGATGACCTCGTACTATTCTTATTTGGATTTTCTGACTGTCTAGAGTGTTAGAAATGTCTGAGGTATTCAAACTATGAACAGCACAGCAGAAGTTGCACGCCATACTTAACGTACCATGAACGTTGCAATTAACTGGGCAACCCGTCAGAGGGATGTCCTAGGACGTTTTATCTTTGATTTTTTTTTTTTTTAGTTTTCTAAACGACTGGCTGGGGACTTAGTTCTTAGGAGTATTCTTGGCTTAGGTTAGGTAGGTTAGGAGGTTAGGTAAATAAAGTTTAAGTTGCTTGTGATGACCTATAACGTTTCATCTTTGGTTTTTAGCCTTTTTACGGGAATGTAATAACTGCGGGCTTCATTTCTTTGGTAATAAAGATAAGCCGAGTATTCTTGGTTAGACTGCATTTTAGTCGAGTGATTTAAGCAATTAGGAGATAAGGTAAAATAAAGAGAAAGTGGGTTGTGATGCACTATAAAGTTTCATCTTTGGTTTTTAGCTTTTCTAAGGGAATGGAGTAACTGGGGACTTAGTTTCTTTGGTAGTACAGCTTAGCAAAGTATTCTCGGCTTGGTTATAACTTAACCGATTGTTCTAATCGCTTAAGAGGCCAGGTAAATATGAGGACGGTCGGTTTGTGATACCCTTGGATGTCACCACGTGCATAAAAAGAGAAGGAGCATGATCCTTTATACTAAGAAATCTAAGCCTAAAGTCCAGCTTGAACTTTGAAGTTTTCAGTGAATGGACCATCTGGTGTCGTCCTGTCATCAGTTGGCTCTAGTGCATCTTTTTTGTTCTTAATGTGCATTTTTGTGCTCCACTTAAACTTCTACGTACTTCCTGTCAGAAAAGAGCCTCGGGTACATGTAAAGCTCCATTGGAAGCGTTCGACTCACCGGCAGGGGGTAGCGGGCCGATCCTTGCTGTACATTGGCCCTGTCCCGACTGACGGAGGTGGCGTGTTCATCGCGGGGCATATCGCTAAGTCCCCCCCGCCTCCGGACGTCATATTTTCACCCCTCTTCACGAACACCCGCGGGGGAGGATTCACATTTAAACTTATTTAAGCTAGGCTTTTGATTCTTCTGATGTCATGTGCATATCGACCCGGATGTGATAACACCTCGTTTTTTTCTCTCTCCCAGCTAGTTTTTGGAATACAAAAAGGTAGGCGTACAATACGATAAATAGGTGAAAAATCACACCTTTTGTAACGAGGACGTGATTAATGCCCTTATCGACCTGAGCCAGGGAAAGGCGTCAGCTGCAGACGCGATACCTTCGCTAATTGCAGACGGTTTGAGGCCCTCTCTGGGTCACCGGACTTTCTCATCGCCCCCGACACGCACGTAGGTTAATCCCACTACAATCGATGACAGAGATGAACGTGGTGCACCATTGCGTCTTGTCAAGCCCCCGGATTTCGATCAACCCCGCCTCCAGGGTTGAAAGTTAAACGCCACGCCATCCCAAGCGACGGCTAATTAAGTTTAAACTTTTCCCCCAGGGCTTTTTAAAGGCGCCTCTCTTTGGAAAAGGCTTGTTGCTTTATCAACTTAATTGCATATCGGCCGAACTGGGCCTTGAGAGGAGGCGGAGGACACGCGACGCACTCAGACCCAATTTAACTTTATTCCCTATTTTCATTTCGGCCGAGACTTATTCGCGATGGTAAAGCTCGAATATCATCCGGCAGGAAATTAACCTGCCGCACCAATCAAAGCATTAATTTTTTCCCTCTATTATTACTATATTCAAGGTTTCTTATTATTCTGTTCTTGTTTTCTAAAGATGCTTCTTATTCTCCGAAGACACCTCTGAACACCATTGGACTTAATCCCTGGCCAACAGTTCTCTACCACTACACCTCAAAGTTTGAAGACATCATACAGCCCATGAATAGGAATTGAAGCATTATCAGGCCTTTTTTTGGTCATCCAAAATCAACAAACATAGCGCAGTAAATAAACCTATGAAATATGATTACATCCTAACTAATTAAGTCCTTCAAATCCAAAGTATTTTTTTTTAATTGACATTTATCTCTCCTTTAGTCAATCTGGGATCCAGATCGTGAAAAACTAAGAACGAAAAACTTTATTTTGTTTTCCGTTTTTTTAATATATTTTTTCAAATTTATGATTTCTTGTATTATTTCTATTTTTGAGGCGAAATATCTCACACAACAGTCAGAAATGGTAAAAGTACGATATGAAAATTATCTAGTGAGTATTGTACTTTTCCTTCTCATTTTTGCTGTTTCTTTACGTTATTTTATTTTCTTCTTTTTTATTTTTTTGCACTGTTTCTGATTTTTAGGGAAAAATATCAAACGGCTATAATTGACTTGTTTATCTGGTGTTTGTTGTGTTTTTCCTAATTTTTTCGTGCAGTTTCTCTGCCTCCTTTATTGTTTTTTCTTCTCTTTTATTTATTGTACTGTTTCTTTTTTGGGAAAAATATCAAACGCTCCAACTAGAATTGCTAAAATTACGAGTTGAATTGTGTAAATGTTGTTTGTTGTGTTTTCCTTCTTATCTCTGGTGTATGTACTTTCTTTACTTGCTTTTTGGTTTTTCTTTTTAATTTCTTGCATTGCGTTTATTTATAAGGCACAATATCAAACACAACAACCAGGAATGCTAAAAGTTTTGCTCCTCAAGGTGTTTGTGTTTCTTTCTTTTCTCTGCTGTCTCTATACTTTCTTGTCCCCCCTTTGTTATGTTTTGTCTTATACGTGTTGTATTGTGTTACTTTTTTCGGCAAAATATCAAAGGCTAACAACAGAAGGGCTAAAAGTACACGATAATTATCTCGTGTTTGCTGAGCTTTTCATTCTTTCCTCTGCTGTCTCTATACTTTTTTGTCCCCCTTCGTTATTTTTTTATTTATATTTGTTGTACTGTTTTCGTGTTTTAGTCAAAATATCAAAGGCTACGACCAAAAGGGCTAAAAGTACACTTGATAGTTATCTGGTGTTTGCTGAGCTTTTCATTCTTTCCTCTGCTGTCTCTGTACTTTTTTATCCCCCCTTCGTTATATTTTGCCTTACATTTGTTGTACTGTTTTCGTTTTTAGTCAAAATATCAAAGGCTACGACCAAAAGGGCTAAAAGTACACTTGATAGTTATCTGGTGTTTTCTGTGCTTTTCATTCTTTCTTCTGCTGTCTCTATACGTTTTTGTCCCCCTTCGTTATTTTTGGATTTATATTTGTTGTACTGTTTTCGGTTTTTAGTCAAAATATCAAAGGCTATAACCAGAAGGGCTAAAAGTACACTTGATAGTTATCTGGTGTTTTCTGTGCTTTTCATTCTTTTCTCTGTTGTCTCTTTACTTTCTTTCCCAGTTTTTTCGTCTTCTCTCTTTCATTCTCTCCTCTTCGTTTCGTCCCTTGTTGTGCGTATTAATTTTCATCCATCCAAAACGCCATTCCTACGATCGATCCCCGTTTGAGAAAATTTTCGACATCGTTTGGGTAACAAGTTTTAACAAGACACGCCAACCCGCCTCTAATACACCGGGCCCCGTATTTAAACTCGAGGGGGGGGCGGACAAATAGGGAAAGAATATTAAAAATGAACTATATTATATCGATTCGTACCCACGCCGTACCAGGACGAGGGGCAGAGGCGGAGGAGGAAAGCTCGAGACGGTGTGTCTGCGTTAAAAAGCTGCCAGGCCCCTAGAACAAGACACGATTCTTTAAGTGCCTCGTTTTTCTTTTCTTTTTCCCTTTTTATTTACGCGTCCACTTGATCTTTTTTTTAGGTGGAAGCACTCAAAATTAGAAAGGCAATGGGCAATAAAATTAGTAATATTGGGTTGTCCGGAAAATAATGCAGGATTTTGGTATTAAACAAAAAAAAAGAAACTAGTTACTTTAAAGCAATGTTCTTTAATCAAAATAATTTCCCATACTCTCAATACATTTCTCCCAACGTGTTTGTAACTTATTAATTCCGTCTGAGTAGAATTCAGAATTTTTAGAATTGATAAAGTCAATAAATGCATTTTCCAGTTCCGTTTGATTTTTGAATATTATGTGTTGTAAGTAGTGGTCCAGGTGTCTAAAAAAATGGTAGTCAGTAGGCGAGAGGTCCGGAGAGTAGGGTGGGTGAGGCAAAGTTTCATAGCCAAGCTCCAATAATTTTTGTGACGTTACACGTGACACATGTGGTCGAGCGTTGTCATGCAACAAAATGGGCCCTTTCCGATTGACCAAAGAGGGCTTCATTACTGCCAATTTCTGATGCATGGTATTAATTTGGTTACAGTATGATTCAGCATTGATGGTTTCGCCAGGATTTAAGAAGCTGTAGTGTATTAAACCAAATGAAGCCCACCATACCGTAACCATTACCTTTTTTTGATGAGTTGGGGGCTTTGGAAAATGTATTGGAGCTTCTCCTTTGTCGAGCCACTGTCCAGAACGTCTAGTGTTATCGTAGAGAATCCACTTTTCGTCACATGTAACAATTCTGGCCAGAAATGGGTCATTTTTGTTTCGACAAAGAAGTGATGCACAAACATCAAAGGGCTGATTTTTTTGGCGATCGTTTAATGAGTGTGGAACCCAATTTTCGAGTTTTTTCACTTTTCCAATCGCCTTGAGGTGGTCAGCGACGGTCGTTTTACTGACTTTGAGTTGCTCTGCAAGTTCTCGAACAGTTGTTTTGGGGTTTTCTTCCACCACTGATCGCAGAACATCATCATTAAGAGAGGAAGGCCTTCCACGACCTTCTTCATCTTCAAGGCTGAAATCTCCCTCCCGAAATTTTTTAAACCACCTTTGCACAGTGCACTCATTAACACAACCCTCGCCCCAGACTTGGTTAATGTTTCTAGCCGTTTGGGCTCCGCTTCGGCCGAGTTTAAACTCGTAAAAGAAAGTCGTACGAAATTCTCGCTTTGACATTATAAGGATGACTGAATTATTTCCAAGTAGCGGAATGCTACAGAGGTAAACAAACAATATCATTTGGAATACAAATGAGTAATCCTGTAAACGTAAACAGAATATTTTATATAGATTTTTTTTAATGAAAACTTAAAATCCTGCATTATTTTCCGGACAACCCAATAAATGTTACAATTGGTGACTGTTGTGTTCTTACCTTCTATTTCCTGCTTTTATCAGTTTCTTGCAATTCTTCTTTTTGATTTGTTGTATTATTTCTATTTTTAAGCCAAAATACCCACCTAAACAGCCATAAATATTAAAAGTACAAATTGAATAGGTGTTTCCTCTGCTTTTATTTCTCTGATCTATTTTCTCTTTTGCTTTTATCTTGTCGTTTTTGCGTTTAGATTTGTTGTATTATTCCAATCTTTTGGTCGAAATACGAAACTCAACGGCCATAAACGTTAGAAATACGACTTGCAATCGAAATCTGGAGTCTGATGCTTTTTTTACGACTTGCAATCGAAATCTGGAGTCTGATGCTTTTTTTCCTTCATTTTATCTACTATCCCTATACTTTCTTGCTTTATTGTTATATATTTACTTGTGTTTGTTGTTTTATTTCTGGTCTTAGAATAAGATATTCAATAAAAGAGCCTGAAATGCTGAAAAAAAAAACTCGACGTAAACCCAAATCTGGTGGCTGCTGTCTTTTTCCATTCTTCCCTATATTGTCTCTTTACTTACTTGACTTGTTTTTATTATTTTTAACCTTTATATTTGTTTCTATTTTAGAACTAAAATATCAATAACAGCTTCAGGAATGCTAAAATTATGACTTACAATCGAAATCTGGTGTCTGATGCTGTTTTTCCTTCATTTCGTCTACTATCCCTATACTTTCTTGCTTTATTTTTATATATTTATTTGTGTTTTTGTTGTTTTATTTCTGGGCTTAAAGTAAGATATCAAATAAAACTGACAGAAATGCAGAAAATTCGAAATAAATCCAAATCTGGTGGCTGCTGTCTTTTTCCATTCTTCCCTCTACTGTATATTTTCTTGCTTTATTTTTATATATGTTTTGTGTTTGATGATTAATTTCTGGTTTTAGAGTAACATCCAATAAAACAGCCAGAAATGCTAAAAATATGTCGTAAATCCAAATCTGCTGGCTGCTGTCTTTTTCCATTCTTCCCTCTATTGTCTCATTATTTAATTGCCTTAGTTTTATTATTTTTTACTTTTGTATTTGTTGTACTGTTTCTATTTTTGATCTAAAATATCAATAACAGCTCCAGGAATGCTAAACTTACGACTTTCAATCGAAATCGGGTGTCTGATGCTGTTTTTCCTTCATTTTGTCTACTATCCCTAGCTTTCTTAATTTTGTGTTTGTTGTTTGATTTCTGTTCTTTGAGTAAAATATCAAATAAGACCAGCCAGAAATGCTAAAAATACGACTTAAATCGAAACATGGTGGCTGCTGGCTATTTCCTTCTTCCCTCTTCTGTTTCTCTACTATTATGCCTTATTTTTATAATTGTTTGCTTGTTTTGTTGTATTGTTTATATTTTTGACACAAAATTATCAAATATAGCTACAGAATAAGTCAGAAGTTCTAAAATTACGAACTGAATTAGGTATTTGGTGTTCATTTTACTTCCTTCCTGTTGTATCTCTGTGTTTTTTTTCTATGTTGCATTTTTCATTTTTCATTTTTGAATTGTTCTATTTTTAAGACATAATATTAATTTCAACGGCCAGAAATACGCAAAAAAACGTGTTAAATTAGTAATCTGGTGTTTGCTGTGCTTTTCCTTCTTTTATCTGCTGTTCTTGTTTCTTTCTTGTACTTTGTTATTTTTTGTCTTATATCTGGCGTACTGTTTTTGGTTTTTAGGCAATAAATTATCAAACACTGACAGCTAGAAATGCTGTAAGCATGGCTTGAGAGTGAGTTATCTGGTGTTTGTTGGGCTTTTCATTCTTTTCTCTGCTGTTCTTGTTCCTTTCTTGTTCTTCTTTGCTATTTTTTATCTTATATTTGTAGTACTGTTTTCGGTTTTTAGGCAATAAAATATCAAACACTGACAGCTAGAAATGCTGTATGTATGGCTTGAGAGTTATCTGGTATTTGTTGTGCTTTTCATTCTTTTCTATGCTGTCCCTTTATTTCCTTTCCTTTTTTATTGTTTTTTCTTCCATTGTACCTGTTGTACTTTTTCTGTTCTTTCGACAAAATATTAAATGCTATCGACCGGAAATTCTAAATTACGCTTTTAATTATTTATCTGGTTGATTCTGTGTTTCTGTTTCCTGTCCCTGCTGCCTCTTTACTGTTTTGACTTGTTTTTCTGTTTGTATTAGGTCTATTCTTAATTCAGCTAGAATAAATGCTTAAAATACGACTTAAATTAAGAAGCTCTTTTCCAACTTTCTCTGTTGTCACTTCACTCCACTTTCATGTCTAGTTTTTAATATAAATAAATATATTATATATAACATAACAATAACGAAGACAACCTTCTTTCCCTGAGGTGTATCACGGTTTGTCGAGTACATGCTTAGTTAGTCCCGGCCGGACCGGCCCGTGGGTGGGGACGAGTTGACGAAAGTTGTGTTTGCACGTGCCAAGTCCTTCCAAAACGTGATATCGTGCCCTGGCGGAATTAACCCTTTGGTTAACCTCCTCCGCCCGGAGTATGATTTTGAACGAATAATTCAAATTTTGAAGGGCCGAAACGACCCGGTGCAACCACCGAGGACGATGTTCAAAATAAACAGCTAATTGCATACTTTTTTGATCATATCTCAACTAAAATTGAAATAGCCCAAGCGGTCTTGCCTCAATTCATTGTCACCCTCGTCCGGCCTAGATATGATGATGCCAGGTGGACAAGAGGTCGACTATCACTATAAAGACTTAATTTCATTAACTTTATTTACCTCAGTATATCACTGGGCTAGGCTTTAAAAAGAGAAGAACATAAAAAGAAAATCCGTTCTGCTGGATTACCAGCTGACCTTGAACTGTTATTAAAGCTTCATCAAGACACCTAAGATCGTTTGCACATCGACTTATAAGTCTCCTTGTCATTAAACTTAAACAAGGACTTCAAAAGAACTTGGGACTTCGTGAGGTCACTGAGAGAAATAGGATCTGATCTCGGGTGACAGGATATTTGGAAGGAATCATCAAAAACAAGACTAGAACTCCCTTAAAAAAGTAGGAATGGCCGTTTGGATCCAGTTTACAGGTGGAACAATACCCAAGGTGTTCAATCTCCAGGGCAGGGACTTCGTCAAGAAAGTTTCGCAGACCTGGTACGCTAGAGGTGGAGTGAGGATTGTTAGGAGCAGCAGGAGAGGATACTACAGGTCATATAATGTAATTTTCTGATGAGTGATAAGAATGGATCAGGTTTGAAGGGTGGTGAGACAACACCCAAGGACTTCGAGTCTCAAAGAGAGGTACTTCGTCAAGAAATTCCTGCCACGACCTTCTACCTGATCTGGTACAGCTGAACTCGATAACTCAGGATTGTCAGGAGTGGCTGGAAAGGATACTGCAGGTCATATGATGTGATTTTCTGATGTCTGATAAGAATGGATCAGGTTTGACGGGTGGTGGGACAACACCCAAGGATTTGGAGGCATATGTCCAGGGGCTCAGATAAAGAAAGGCTCAATTTATCATAGAAAAAGGTTACTTCTTTGCTACACATATCATACCTCAAAAACCTTGCATTTTATGCTGTTATTGATCCAGTAATTTTTCAATCAAAGACGATCATAACTTTAACTATTGATCCAAGTCAATATTTAGATTAAGGTCCAGTGGATAGGGTTAAGTTTATAAGTAGGCCTGGGCTTTAAGATATCCTGGGATTATTTGCACTGGGTTTGTAGAGAAGGCTAAGTAAAGCAAGCCCTTGGATCAACTCGAGATCAAAACGTTAGGCTATCGCGAAATGATTTATGCTGAAAACTTGTACTCACTCGTGTCTCTTCTTCCTCTGTATCTTGGGCAGGGACTTGGGCATCATTTTCCTCCTGGGGCTCGGGGAACGGCACTGGACTGCAACCACTTTCCATTTGTCATCCGGCGACTGGAAAATAGGCGATATCGCGTGTTAGCCATCTGAGAGTTTGCATGAGACATGCGTAAGGAAGGCGGGGACGGTCGGCCGCCCCCAGCGCGCCGGATTTTTTTTTTTTTTTGGTAACGGCCGAACTGGGTCTACTTATAAGGGATTATCTGTCAAAAGTCACGTTACGTGGGACGTTTTTCCACGTGGGCGAACACACGTGCATCGTCGTACCAGAACGCGGTCAGAAATGAGGAAGAGCCCGGATGTACACTATGTCCACGTTAATATTTCCAAAATTCGACTACTTTCTCTAAAAGATTTTTTTTTACGTTTTATCAACTTATATTTTTATAGTTATACTCTTTTTGTACATGCACATAGAACAATTTTAAACCCTTAAAAACCCTAAAAGGATAGAAATATTTATATGAAAAGGCCAGGCACCAAATCTTAACGTGTCAACAAAAAGTTCATTTCCAGCAACTTTTGCCAATTTTCTTTCATTACTTTTTATATATAATCTATTTAAATTATTACACAATTTTATATCATATAACAACCCTAAAAATGTCAGAAATTTATATGAGGAAATTAGCCCAGGTGCCAAATCTTAGCATGTAGAGAAAAAGCCCACTTCCAGCTAAATTTTCAAAATTTTTATACTTTACTTTCATGTATTTTGATATATATTCTGTTTAAAAATAATATGTAACACTGTAAAATATTATATCAGGCTCCAAATCATCACATGGCGAGAAAAAAGCCCGTTTTCCATCTAATTTTTCAACATTTTTAGAATTTTTCCATATCTTTTGATAAATAGTAAAAATATAGTTTTAGCTTTGGTTTAAATATAGTATTTTATTTAAAAAAACCTATAAATATAAGAAAATTTATTTGAAAAAAACTAGCCAGTCAACAAATCATAAATAATTTTTCAACGTGTCTATAATTTATTGACAGATTTTTATTTTACCTTTATTACAGCATGTACCAACTTTGTCACATAAAAACCCTAAAAATACTATTAGTTTATACGGGAAATCCTAGAATCTCAAAAACGTTCCGTTTTTCAGCTAATTTTTCGACAATTTTATAATTTATTCTACTATATTTTGATGTGCAATTTGTTTAAATATTGCATTGCTTAATTTTATTTCGCATAAAAACCCTAAAAATATAGGAAATTTGTATGAGAAAACTAGCCCAGTCATAAAATCTTAAGATCTGAACAGAAAGACCTTTTCCAGTTATTTTTTTCCATTTTTGTTTAATTTATTTTCTTTCCTTGTTTATGTAATTTGTTTGAGTTGAATGTTTAGTTGTTTTATATTGCATAAATTGCATGCGATGTGGATGATCTTAGATGACCACTACTAGCCCATCTCCCCTTCAATTAATTAATGTTTATGAAAGGTATTGGTTAATATAAAAAAAGTCAGCGTCACGAGCGGGATTCGAACCCAAGACCTTCGGCTAAATACGCCGCTACTCTACGACTTGAGCTATCGTGACTTCGATCCGCTCGGACTACAACTTCCCATCTCAACCTCACCTCTCGAATTTTCCCTCCTTTTTGCCATTTTTCAAATGCCGTGAAATCGATTTGATTCTCGGCGACAAATGAAATGGCCACGGAGAGCTTTCGTGAAGATCCGTCCGATTGACCAATTAACATATTTCAATTAATTAACATTTATGAAAGGTATTGGTTGAGAAAAAAGTCAGTGTCACAATAGCCCAAGTGGTTGAGTAACGGCGTATTTAGCCGAAGGTCGTGGGTTCGAATCCCGCTCGTGACGCTGACTTTTTTATCTCAACCAATACCTTTCGTAAATATTAATTAATTGAAAAATGGGGAGTAGGTTGGCTGGATTGATCCGTATCTTAATCGTCCAATGGTCAAGACGGGTCGAAACAGTTTCAGCGAATTTGTCAAAATTGACAAAACCACGTCGATCGTGGTACGCTGTAAATCAATCGTACAAAGTTCGGCCCGTTTCGCTTTCTGTGCTTCTCCCGAGGGCGCAGACCGTCCAGCGTTGGCCTGGGGGGGGGGGGGGCTCGGCTTCGGGAGGGTTTATAGATTGACGTATTTAAAATCGGTTAGAAGGAAGTTTCCGGCCTTCTGGGGGAAAAGGGGGCCGGAGGATGCGCATTGGGCCGACGGGGACTTACGGGATTTACATACGTTGGAGGACACGAAGAGAGTTCGGGAAGAGGGCCGAAGGGGGAAAAACAGCGAGGCGATACGGCCCCATGGCACGCACCAAGACTAACACATAATTGTCGGAACTTCTTGTAATTAAATAAATAAAAAGACATCAACGTGTGGAAGACGTGGAAACTATTAAGAAAGACTACTTTTGAAGAAAAGACTAAAGACAGTACAACTAAATTTGAAAAGTAGGGAAAAGTATAAAATATTTTTATTTTTTAAAATCTCAATTGTCTAAATATTGTATATAAACACAGTATATGAATAAAACTATATGAAAATATATTATACAAATGGAGAAAATGTTATGGGTGATTTCTCGAAAAACCAACATTTGGAATGGAATAGGCTTTTTCAGGTGTTAACATTTGGTGACTGGTCCTATTTTTTTATGAATTTCATAACTGCAGTGTGTAAACAGTGTACATATAAAAATATGCGGAAATAAATTATAAAAATATAGAAAATGTTTATGGAAATGGTAGTTTTCTCGAGAATTTGGTGGAAAAGATATATTATTATAAATATTATAGAAATTATATTTTTAATGTTGTTATGTAGCAATAAATATTGTTTATAGATAGTCAGTAAATAAAACAATAAGGAAATAAATATATAAAAATGTGGAAAATGTCGATGGAAGTGGGAGATTTTTCGAGATTGTAACATTTTGTGGAAAAACTACTCTTCTCATAGAAACCTACATATACATTTAGGTTTTCAGGATCTTTATGTAATAGAAAATTGGCAAACATGATATTTATACAAATTATAGATAAAAATGTAGATAAATATATTATAATAACAGTATAAAACTAGATGGAAATGGGCTTTTTCTCGACATGTCAAGATTTGGCGACTGGGCTAGTTTTCTCATACAAATATCTGATTTTTTAGGGTTTATATCTGCTATAAAATTGTGTAATAATTTATTTAAACATACAACATTGAAAAATACCTGGAAACGGGCTTTTTCTCGCCATGTAAAGATTTGGAGCCTGATATTTTTTTCGTATTTTTAGGGTTTTTATAATTATCTCAATTTGATAAACGTTGTGTATAAACAGTCTACATATAAACTATAATAAAATGAATTAAAAAAACATAAAAAATATTTATAGAAATGTGTGGTCACTACCTTTAATGATTATTTAGAGACCGTGAGATGCGGTCTGGTGTAACGTAGGTCTTAGAAAAATATTTTCTTTATCGTGCGACGTTTCGGTCTTTATTGAGATCATCGTCAGGGCCTTGTATTGCCTGCATTTCAACAAAAAAGGTTTTCTGATTAATAGCCGATGCAAGTTTCTTTTAATTACTCGCGATGTCCTTCGAGAACCTTTTTGTTGAAATGCTGCCAATGCAAGGCCCTGAAGATGATCTCAAAAAAGGTCGAAACGTTGGCACGATAAATAATGTTTTTCTAAACCTACCTCACACCAGACCGCGTCTCACGATCTCCAAATAATCATTTATTAAAAATTGTAAATTTCTCGAGATTCTAATATTTTGTGGAAAAGATACTGTTCTCATAAAATCTAATTGTGTTTTTATTGTTTTTATATAAGAGAAAATTGTTAAATACTATATTTTAACAGACTGTATATAAAAATTTAGGGAATTAAATTATGAAACTGTTGAAAAATTATCAGGAAACTTGGAGATTATTTGGTGACGTCCTATTTTCTTACATAAACATATATATTATTAGTGTTCTTATGTAGCTTAAATAAGTTAAATATTGTTTATACATAGTAAATAAATAAAACTATATGGAAATAAATAATAAAAATGTGGAAAATGTTGATGGAAATGGGTTATTTTTCGAGATTCTAACATTTGGTGGAAAACCTACATATACAATTAGATTTTTATATAATAGAAAGTTGGGAAATGCGACATTTAAACCAATTATATCTCAAATATAGGGAAATCTAATATAAAAACTGGAAAAACTAGATGGATTTTTCTCGACATATCAAGATTTGATGACTAGACTCATTTTCTCATATAAATGTCTAATATTTTTAGGGTTTTTATGTGATATAAAATTGTGCAATACTATATTTAAACAGATTACATATCAAAATATAGAAAAATAAACGAATAAACTATGCAAAAAAATAGCTGGAAATGAACTTTTTGTTGACATGTCAAGATTTGACGACTGGGCTCATTTTCTCATATAAATATCTCATGTTTTTCGGGTTTTTATGTGATATAAAATTGTGCAATACTATATTTAAACAGATTACATATCAAAATATAGAAAAATAAACGAATAAACTATGCAAAAAAATAGCTGGAAATTAACTTTTTGTTGACATGTCAAGATTTGACGACTGGACTAGTTTTCTCATATAAATATCTGATTGTTTAGGATTTATATCTGCTATAAAATTGTGTAATAATATATTTAAACAGACTACATGTCAAAACTTTTTTGAACTTTTTGTTCACATGTTAAGATTTATAGTGAGGGCTAGTGTTTTAGTATAAATTATCGTATATTTTTAGGGTTTTTACGTGATATAAAATTATATAATGCCATATTTAAACAGATGTATATACAATTTTAAATTATTAAAATGTCGAAAGATTACCTTGAACTGGGATTTTTGTTGACATGTAGGGATTTGGTTACTGGTCCTGGGTTCTCGATAAACATATATATTTAGTGTGCTTATGTAGTATTAATTACTTAAATATTTTGTATAAATATTGTCTAATTAAAACTATATGGAAATAAATAATAAAAATGAGGAAAATGTTGAAAGAATGGGTGATTTCTTTAGATTCT